CCGAGAGGCGATCAACGCGACGCTCAGACGAAGCACAACGCTCAGACGTTATTGAAACCCATTATTTGTGATCGACAGAGGGTGATGAGATTTAAGAATTTATGGCATTGCCACGACCACGCCGAAACAACGAATGAGGTTATGAGATGATTTTAATTTTTCAAATATTTCTCAACTCCGACGGTGATGCTGCCGGTCGGTCTGATCGTAAGACAAAACATTTTACGGTAATTAAACTCTGAGTTGATGGTCGATGGCAGCCATCGTCATTTGGCCAGCCTGTCGTTGCTGTGCTGCTCTTCCGCGTTCTGTTGGTTCATTTCCATTGCTTAAGTTTACACCGTGACCGCGAACGAAAGTATCGTTTGCGAAAGCTCATGTCGGCCGAACTTACCAGCGCATGACCACGCCTCTAATGTTTGAAACATTTGGAGCAAACAGTATCGCGCGTGAAGAAAGTCCAGATGCGGACACCAGTGAAGATGCCTAGTTCGGGTTTGCCATGCGCTCTTGAAGCCACGCCTGGCATACTGTGCTTTTCCGCCAATAATCACTTTAAATATCTTTGGACAGAATTCAAAAAACCTATGACGGTTTAAAAAAAAAGCATATCAGCTCTGGCGACAGAATGTAAATAACTAGCTCTGTAGGCCATGTGAACATTAGACTAATGATTTCTTACAGCTGTGTTGGTAAGGCATGAGATTTTCTCAAAGTCGGCGCATCAATTGATGTTTTAAGATACGCTATCCTTAACCTAGATTATTGAGAGTACCTCTTTGCTGTTTTGTAACTTTTGCTATCATGAAATACATCGAATTTTTTTTATTACTTCAGCCCTAATTTTGTAGAGACCTCTTAAAAATCGTCTCTTACAGATCCAGCCATTTCGTTGTTCAACACTGACGCGGTTTTATGTTCTTGAGGGAACTTTCCACAATACATTGTTCACATAGAACTTGGTGGCCTATCCTTAGTCCCGTAAACCAATAATCTCTGACCCTTTCGAGTACAAGCATAGCTTACGCATGTTTATATTAAAGCAACAGGTCATAGATTTCAGTTCACAACTTGAGAGCGTTATAATGGTCAGGCATGTTCCAAATGATATGCTCGTTGCTGCTTTAGTTTGAAGTTGAGGAGCAGTATCTGGAGGTGCGTTCTTTTCCGCAAGATCTCCACTGGTGAAGATCGGTTAGCTGATTTGCACAGAACAAAAGTTTGCATATGAACTACAGCAAGGCAAAAGGTGGAGGAACTTTATTCGCTTTTCTCCCTGATGGAATGAATTTGTGCCCGTTGTTTCTGGCCTCATATTTTATCTAGATCAAATAAGATTTAGTGCTTTTCCTGCATGCAGCGATTAGTTGCTGGGAGGATTTTCTGCTCGAATCACATATGAATCGCTGGTGAACCAAAATCGAATCACGATCTTTCGACGTGCAGAGGTTCTAACCTGTGTCAATGCATCCAAATCTGTCTTTAGTGACCAGCAGCTAATTCAGCAATGGGAAAACATGCAATTTTTCCAAACCAATTACACCGCCTAAACGGCAAACCCCCTTTGCCTGGAAAAAAAGTAACATTCAATTATTACGTTGTTTCTTCCCGGTCGTCTTGGATGACCGATTCCGCATTTATTACATGCTTTAGAGTAAAGATACTGTCGAGATTAATAATGCGGATACGTTATCATGGCCTACTAAGTAACTTCCTATCCATGACAATGCTAAAGAGAAGTAAGGTAGAGTCTAAGTGGTGCAGAAGCATTACGCAATTAGGATTAATACGATAAGTTTAAAAGACAACATTCAATCATATCCCGTTTTTTATCTACCGGTCAACGTCACCTGAGTAGTTTTGCAAAATGTTGAATTCTTACATACCGAATAAACATCTCATGTACTGTAGCACATAACGAGTGGCAACTCTTGAAATATGGTTCCTAATGAGTGCTAGGTCGCTCTGGCGGGCAAAATGATGCAAGATGCATCTGACACGGAAGGTGTTCAAGTACAGTGGACTCGACGCCTCCTTAACTGTCTCCTCTGTGCAATGTGGAACAAGGAGACGGGGCAATGCATCCTAAAATCTTGTCTTGGATGGGCTATTCGTTATTCGACATAGACAGACACACGAATTAGTTATAATGTGTGTTAAGTAACGCATAAGGAGGACCAACTCAAGGAACACCGTTCGTGATAAGTGCGAGGTGACGCTAGCGAACAAGCGATGCGAGATACACATGGTACTGCTGGTGTACTCAAATGGGTTGGAGTCTTAGTTGCACAGGAAACTAGGAGCGAGACGTCGGTGTAGTGCTCCGTGAATTTTGTTCTTGAAGGAGTTATACGAATTCTCCTCTATGCATGCCGATTTAAAACTTCAATTTCTTTGAGGTTCGAACGCTGCTAATTGATAAACATATTTGAACAGAATGTGAGGTTAAAATTAGTGGCATCAAATAAGCCAACCGCTCCTGAACCACTTTTTGATTTATAAATCCCTATCGTCGACAGAGTTTGACATAATAGGAAATTCCGCATCGTGCATATCAGTGTTTGTATCTGCTGCTGACACGTAGTTGCCAAATTTGTCTACTGGCTTACACAGGCTAAATTAATAGCACCCAAATATCCGGCTTTTCGCCTTCAGTTGGAGAAATATTGCGAAAAATCGTCATTTTTTGGTTGACTACGGTTCAGCTTAGTTACGGTATTGCTCCTTTCTGTTCTTAATTTACAGTATGCTATATTCTCAGATAACTATTTGCTCTTCGATCCTGTTAAGTACCTCGCTTTCTTTCAATCATACAACATTTACATATAGGCAACGAAAACTTCCAGCAGATATGATGGATGCCTGCTAAGTTTCCTCTGCCATGTCATGCCTGGTCTACCACACTAATGTTGAGATTCTGGATTAACAGTAGAGAATCCCACGATGCATCTGCTGTTCAAAACAATACACAAATAGTTCTCCATAAATCTGAATTATCACCTACGTATCAACGTAAGAGTAAAATCCATTTCACCGACACACATGACAAGGATAGGTTTACAAATTCACGTCCGTTACAATGAATTCAAAGCCTTTATGACCTCGCGTGTTTTAAGCAAACCTTGGTATGTGAAGGATAATTCAATTACAAGTCTATAGGAAGTACTATAAACCACGTTGAAAAGCTGGTTTTGAAGTAACCAATATCTTTCGGTCGACTCGTGGAACGGTCGTCTGTGTTTCTTCAGATCATTGTCTTGAATCAGTGTTAGACTAAGTGGTTTATGCTTAGGCAACTTGTCCAACAGGGCCAAATTCCTTTCCTTGATTTCTACGTATAGTGAGGTCACCTGTATCTGAAAAACAAAATCTTTCCTTCGATCATTCGGCTGTCTAATCCTCATTATACGTTGAAGCTAATGCTACTGTACGCAGCTCAGCCGCCACCCTTGCCCTTCAGCAGAAAAATGTTTCCATGAAGTAAAACGACCCTGACCTGATAGAAGCAAGGTACAGTCAGACTTTATGGCAAGGTGTACTCTTTTCTCGGCATAAATAATTGGCAGGTTACCAATGAGCAGTGAAGGCGATTTTCCTGCTTGACTCTGATTGGATAGTGTCGCCGCTTGATGCAGTCGAGACACTTAAAATGGTCAATCTCCTAAAGTACTTCACCTCCCTGTTTTATATATTGATCAGCTGTGAACAGTGGACAGAGTCACGATTGGATTCGTGGCATCAGACATGACATATTGCGTTCTAGCATGATATGCCTCTGAAGACAGCCTTGCATATGAATGTCGCCATTTACCGTTTGTTTCATCAACTTTGTTTCATCGTGCATAGATTATAGCATATTATAAGCATATAAGGGGATGATGTATCGATGATCTATGATCTATGATCTTCTTATCGATGAGTTTAATGAGTTTAGTTCAGTTTAATTCAGTTTTATTTTATGCCTTTTGCAATAATTATGCAATATTTTCTGAATCGATCCTCCTTTTACAGATATATCAATTTTTGTTAGAATTGTTTTTGTGCCTACGGCTACTGCTCAAACAGGCAGTGTCCTCATGTAATTCTCAGTCTTCCATTAAATCCTCCCCACGTTCTGCATGAGCAGCGTGATCTTTCGAGGTTATTGAGGATGCATTGCCTCTCAAAGGAGATCGGCAAACAGATTGTAATGTGTTATCCAATTGAGGGGGTCATAAACTCTGGCAGGTCATTTGTTCAAGTAAATTTTGCAAACCAAGATTTTGAAAATCGCACACGTGCTTTGTTTTGTCACTTCCCCTTCCGACTAGATCATGAAACTTCACATTCCTGTATACTACGACATGTTTTCGATTTTTTCCAAACCAGTTGCTCTGTTATTTAGATGAACTAAATGTGTACTTCCGGCCGTCGTTCGCTCTCGCCCGTTACGTATCTGCGCATTAGAAACTCCCATACTTTTTGCATCTTAAAAGCACAACCGAATGAACGTACGGAATGTTCAGGGACGTTCAATAAGCTCAGATGAGGCACAATTTGCCTCTGTGTATCTACAGATCAGATCGACCCAGTTAACTAGCGATATATTCACGGCCTTTATGTGACCTCAATTTAGAAATCGGTTAAATATGAGTGCAATTACATGTGTACGGATATGTAAGAATTTTCAAATATTGCATCACCACAATAACTTATATTTCATTGGCTCGCGCCTGAGCAAAGCAGTCTTGATTGATTGAATATGAGCCTGTTGATGAAAGCTGTTAATCGAGCTCAAATATCAATTTTGCACAATCACTTTCTCTAATCCTAAATGTGGCCTGTATAACATACGCAATGATAACACGTTTTCTGGTGATTCTCAGTAGCTGGCTCTCTGTAACTGTCATCTTAGCTGCCTCTTTTAAAACGAAACTCACCGCTTCGTTGAGGGCCGACCAAAACGGCCAGATTATCGATCGCATGCTTTGGCGAAATCCGGTTTTGTTTATTTTTCTCAGGTGCTACGAAGCAGTGAGATGTCGCCAAAAGGACCGAGATGGTCGCTCTGGATTAAGGGAACAAAAGACCTGATGAT